CGACTAAAACCTTCAAAGTTCACACTCCACCTGCCAAACCCAACTACGTGGCGTGGCTGGGAGGTAAGAATATGGGAACAGCTTTTGGAGCACAGGTCCCAAGTGGGAAAACAGACCTTGTGAGTGGGGTTTGTAATGAATAAGTGGCAGTAGAGCTTAACTGAACTGTTGGAAGTGAAGTGCACGTGATGTCTGTGGAGTTGTTAAGTCCTCCTGGAAGAAGCATTGCAGAATGGCACTGCAGGTTTTGGGAACTTGAAGCAGGTGACTTGCAGTTTGAAACAGCAGTGTGGGAGCAAGTGCAGCTGATAGCAGACTTACAATTACTGGCCCTGGTTATTGTGGGTGAGTTTAACTACCCTTATGTTTGCTGGAAGGATTGCTCTGCCAGCCAGCCACAGTCCAGGAGGTCTCTCCAGTGTGTTGATGGTGACTTCCAGGTGCTAATGGTGGATGAGTCAACTAGGAGAAAAGCACTGCTGGATCTTCTTCTCACTAATAAGAGGAACAGGAGAGCCTGGTTGAAGTGGTGAAGGTTGAGGGCAACCTTGATTGCAGCAACCATGAAGTGGTGGAGTTCAGAATCTCATGTGGCCAGAAGAAAATACCAAGCAGAAACACAACCCTGGACTTCATTAGGGCCAGTTTTTGCCTTTTCAAGCAATTGCTGGGGGAAATCCCATGGGACAGGGGACTTGAAGGTAAAGGGGACCCAGATAGTTGGTTAGCATTGAAGTACTGCTGCTTCCAAGCTCAAGATCAGGGCATCCCAACGGGTAGGAAGTTGAGAAGGGGAACCAGGAAACCTGTATGGTTAAGCAGGGAATTGCTGGGCAAGCTCAAGTGGGAGAAGAGAATCTATAGATTGTGGAAGGAGGGGCTGGCCACTTGGGAGGAATATAAGACAGTCAGAGGATGTAGGGAGGCAACTGGGAAAGCTAAAGCCTTTGTAGAATTAAAACTTGTGAGAGGGGTCAAGGACAACAGAAAGGGCTTCTTCAAATACATTGCAGATAAAACTAGCACTAGGGACAATGTAGGCCCACTGATGAACGAGGTGGTGACAGAAGTCTTTGCTTCTGTCTGACAGAAGATACAGAGAAGGCGGAGTTACTGAATGCCTTTATTGTCTCTGGATGACCACAAGCCAGCACTGTGCCCTTGTGGCCAAGAATACTGATGGCATCCTGAGGTGTATTAGAAGGGGTATGGTTAGTAGGTTGACAGAGGTTCTCCTCCCCCTCTACTCTGCCCTGGTGAGACCACATGTGGAATATTGTGTCCAGTTCTGGGGCCCCTGAGTTCAAGAGGGACATGGAACTGCTTGGGAGTCCAGCACAGAGCCACAAAGGTGATGGAGGGAGTGGAGCATCTCCCTTACAAGAAGAGGGAGCTGAGTCTCCCTAGCTTGGAGGAGACTGAGGGGTGACCTCATTAATATTTACAAACATGTAAAGGGTGCATGTCATGAAGATGGAGCCAGGCTCTTCTCAGTGACATCCAGTGACAGGACAAGGGGCAATGGGTGCAAGCTGGAACACAGGAGGTTCCACATAAATATGAGAAAACTCTTCACAGTGAGGGTGACATAACACTGGAACAGGCTGCCCAAAGAGGTGGTGAGTTCTCCTTCTCTGGGGACATTCAAAACCTGCCTGGATGTGTACCTGTGTGACCTGATCTAGGTGTTCCTGCATGGGCAGGGGATTGGACTTAAATGACCTTTGGAGTCCCTTCCAGTCCCTGACACTGTGTGATTCTGTGATTATATATATATTTTTTTGTTTTTAGTTACTTTCATGGGGTATAAACAGGTGCAATTCAGGACAGATGGAGCTACTAAAAATGAAAGTACCTTGATCCTTTCATTCCTCTTTAATGCAGAACTATATTTTTTTATCAATAACATAGGAGCCATTTTTGGAGCACTTCAGGACATTCTTGGGAGCCGGTCTGTGTCCAGAGAATATTACAGCCAGACGGGGCGCATACCTGACTGGTGCTGTCTGAGTAATCCTCCACTGGAGATGATGTTTGATGTTGGAAAAGCACCCCCACCACTGATGAAGAGGGCTTTTTCTACTGAGAAATAAGCACCTAAATGCTACACGAGGATTCTCCTCCTCTGTTTCAAGTACATATACATACATATATATACATAAGTAGGATTTTTATATGGAGTAATCTGTGTGTAATGCCATTAAATAAAACCAGTGTGGATGTTCTGGGGGAGTACAGTGATAGTTAACAACACTATGTGGAATTGTGTTCATGTGCAGTTTAAAGATGGATTCTGTTAACTCCAGAGCTACTCTGTCACCAGTGAAGAAATGGTATGTAATTGCAAGTTGTAGCTTAGTGAGGTCTGTTATTTATTGGTGCAGTAAATGACATTGTGATGGTGCTTGATTTTAAGATACTTTAATGTAAAGTAGTCTGAGAAGACTGCAGGACTGTCTGCTTTGGGAAACATCTGGAAGCTTTCCTGCCAAACTGAAGAGCGGGATGCTTTACGTGGGATCATGTGTTGGAACTGCTAGGAAATGGCTTGGGTTCCTTAGCAAAGTTGCTGGGACAGTATTTCTCCTGAGGAGTGAGCTCTGTTTTCAGTGCTTCAGCAAAGAACTGTGCTGTGTGTAATTCCCCTGCAGTGCTGAGCTGACACTCTCCCAGCGTCTCACCCCCAGGAATGAATTCAACTGTTTAAGAATCATGAACAGGCATGCAAGGAAATCTTGGACCTCGCTGAAATGCTACGTTCAGAAGTCACTTGTTTGCCCTCCTTTCCCTATCAGAATTATTAAACTTCATTGTCCTGCAGCAGTATGTATTAAATGAAAATACACTACGAGGTTCACTGCTTAGGAAAAATGTACACTTTGATATTAACACTCCTTGGGAGCTGCTGGGAGCTGGCAGGCTGTTGGCAATGCTGTGATTATGTCTTGAGAGAGCCCTCCTCTTAAAAAAAAAAACAAAACCCAAATACATTTCCATTCTGCTCCTGGTGTGTCTCTTGTTTGGTGGATTCCTACCTCTGTTCCATCGTACTGCATTGAAGAACTTTCTGGTTATTAACAGATCTGGTGGAATTAACACAGGTGGTTTCTTTCTGGTGCTGTTGGCAGGTGTTTTGTGAAATTGCTGCCTTCTTACTTGAAATCAGCTGCTTGGCTGCTGCACGGAAAACCAGAGAATAATCAGGCATCCTTGTGAGTAGTTGTTAATGGCTCAGCTGCAGTTCTGGGGTGCAATTGGGCTTCAAAGTACTTTTTAGCCCCTGGAGCTGCTCCGTGCCAACTTCCCACTTGTTCCTGTGTGTGATGCGATTGCCTTACTAAGAAGGTATTCATCACGAGGCCCGGGATCCGGCCGCGGGGCTGCTAAGGGCGCTCAGAGCCGGGCGGCACACTTGTGTGCACGCGTACCGACAGCCGCTGCCGCTCGCTGGAGTGGTGGAGTCGTCACTGCTCGCAGGTCTGCCGTTGGTTGAACGGTTCGGCTGCCTGCACCAAAAGCAGCGCTTGGAAGTTGTGCAGCCTGAGCTGCCGGCTACTCAGCTCCTGTCTCACACAGGCGCCTTCTCACTACGGGAGCAAAAGAATCTCCGCCCAACGTGGGGCTCGAACCCACGACCCTGGGATTAAGAGTCCCATGCTCTACCGACTGAGCTAGCCGGGCGCTGGTGAGCGGCTTCCCAGCACGTGCTGTTCACCACATGATGAGCGCGTGCGTGTCAATCTAACTGTCGCTAGCGCCCCGCCCAGCGAAACCCCACCTCCGGGGAGCGCCGGTTGGCCAATGGAGCGGCCAATGGGAGCGCGCGTTGTTGGGCCGTCGGGAGCGCGAGTGAGAGCGGGGCGGGAGGGGGGCTCCGTGCGATCGAGGCGCCGCCGCCATGAGCTCCATCGGCACCGGGGTGAGCGCGGGCCGCGCGGCGGGCGTGGGGCGGCTCCCGGACAGCCGGGCCTCTGCGGCGGGCAGTCGGCTCCCCTCGGCCGGGCCGCAGCGGGGCCGCGGCCGCTGCTGAGTCACCGCGGCCCGTTAGGCCGGGCGTGCGCGCCGGAGCGTGAGGGGTTGGGGGCGGCTGCGCCTCGGCGCGCTGCTGCAGGGCGTCGCGGAGCGCCGCCGAGTTTGGCCGCGTGGAGCCCCGCGCTCAGCCGCTGGGCGCCTGCTGCCAGAAGAACGGGCTGTGCCGTGGCTTTGCTCGGTAACGCTTTCTCTTCTGCAGTACGACCTGTCGGCCTCCACCTTTTCTCCCGATGGCAGAGTGTTCCAAGTCGAATACGCGATGAAGGCGGTGGAGAACAGCAGGTAGGACGCGGCCGCTCTTTGTTGGATGGCCTTTTGCAAAGCGGCTGATGGCTCTGCGGGTGGAACTCGTTGAGCGACGGTGTCCCTGCCCTCAGCTTGGAAGGCTTCTAATAGGGTAAAAACGGTGCGGTGGCTCCTGCCCGCTTTGTTGTGGAGAACGCAGAGCAAGGCTGTGAACTTGTCTCTGTGTGATAAGGTGATAAATCACAGGCTGTGGGACAAGGCTGGACTGCAGACATCGTTAGCATGTGTAAATTGCTGAGCTGCTGAGGGAGCAGAGCTGTCAGAGTAGCTAAAAGCTCGTTTTGTGGATGTGAACTGAGGCACTGAAAGGCTGATGGGCTCAGAAAGAAGTCAGTGCTCACGTTGGTGTTTGGGGTCAGAGCACTGAGGGGCAGTGGCTCTGCGGTTCCTACGAACACTGTGTGTGTTTTGTTCTCAGTTCTTTGGCTAAGGGCTCCTCAGCCTCTTCCACCTTTGAAAATATGTTTATTTGCTTACTCTGTGCCCTGTTTTGTTTTCTTTAGGCACAGAGTGGAGTGTTGTAACAGACCTACTTGGGTGGAAATTATGTCATTGTGTCATTTGATCACTGGTTGGCAACCCTGCCCACACGGGCCTGGAGCTCAATAACCTTTAAAGTCCCTTCCAACCCAAGCCACTCTATGATTCTATCCAGTATTTTATTAATTCTTTGTCACTTATCTTCACGGTTCTATTATGTGTAAGAGGAATTTCCTTTTGTCTTGTCTCTCAGTACAGCAATTGGGATAAGATGCAAAGATGGCGTTGTCTTCGGTGTAGAAAAACTCGTTCTGTCCAAGCTGTATGAAGAAGGTTCCAATAAACGCCTCTTCAACGTCGATCGGCACGTTGGAATGGTGAGGTGCTGTTAATTCTTCATGGAAGGGGGCTTCCTATTCCAAAGTGGAAATGCATAGAGCTCAGAATCAGTAACAAAGAGATTGTGGAAGCTATGTTAGGCTTTCTGTGCATGTAGAAATGCCAGTGGGTTTTGGTTTCTGTTTGGTTTTTTTTGGTTTTTTTTTTGGACTGTTTTCCTGCAGTTCTTCTTGATTGCATACACACAAACAGAATTCCAAACTTAAAACAGAAGATCAGTACATGTTTTGAAGCTGCTTAAATCTTCCTGGGAGCTGTTCAGACTTTTTTGGTTATTAATTTTCCTAGAGAAAAATTCAATACTGTATTAGCATCAAATCATTGACGTGTTGTAAGCTGGCTAGCAGGACATTGATGGAACTCTTGTAAAGACTAAGCCATGTGATTAGGCTATCATAAGCTTTGTGTAAGCAACATTTGGACTGTGTGATGGCAATTCTCCTTTCAGGCAGTGGCAGGACTGCTGGCAGATGCTCGTTCGTTGGCAGACATAGCTAGAGAAGAAGCTTCTAACTTTAGGACTAACTATGGCTATGATATTCCACTGAAGGTAAGAAATTGGCTTGGTTCACTTGGAGTTTTTGGCTTTGGCACTGATAACCTCAAGTTATAAATTGTAATTAACTTATTTCTGCAGATAAAGGCCTCCAATTATTTTTCTTTTTCCCCTTAGCATCTTGCAGACAGAGTGGCCATGTACGTGCATGCATACACACTGTACAGTGCTGTCAGACCTTTTGGTTGCAGGTAAGTCTGTGGTGGGGGTTGGAGATTCATGATCCTTGAGGTCCCTTCCAACCCAGGCCATTCTGTGATTCAGTGTCAGGTCTTTCCAACGCGTGCTTGTTTGCAAAGACCTTTTGTTTCAGAAGTGCTGGAGCTATTTATGTTTCCTAAACCCCTTTTTCAAATTTGGTGCTGGTAACTGGGAAGTGGAAAGAGGTTCCCCTGTCCTTTTTTTAAATTTGTGTGTGCGAAGCTTTAGGTGAAAAATCCACATATGCATAAGAGCAAACCAGGCTCTGTATAGACTGCATGCCTGTCACTGAGCTGAGGAGTTGATGTTGAATCTGTGTCAGTATTGAAAGCAGAACTTGTCTCTGTGATCGTCCCCTAAAAAATAGGTAATAACTGCCATGCAGCTGTAGTACCAAAGGACTGTTAAACTGAGGTCTGCTGTTGAGTTAAGTAAAATGTTTCTGGCAAATTGCAGGTCCTTAAGTGTCACAGTAACACTGAGCCTTCAGACAGACTGCTTACAGAATGTAGGAGGGATTATGCACCAAGAGTGAAGGAATCCTGACTTGATTTAGCTGTCATCATTGTGCGTGGGTTGGTAGAACAACTGTTTGATGTCTCTTTTTCTCACCCAGTTTCATGTTGGGGTCCTATGATGAAGATGATGGTGCACAACTGTACATGATTGATCCATCAGGAGTTTCATACGTGAGTTTTTCAGAAATATTTCTGTCTTTAAGTTGCTCTTCTAAAAGTTTCTAATTTGGAAATCAGTAACATAGTGTGTATTTCTTACAAGTAGCACTGTTTCATAAAACCTGTTTTTAAAGCTGGTCTCTCAAAAATTGGGAGTTCATTCCATCTGGCTGTATGCAATGAAAAGTCCCATCCATTGCAGCCAGGAAGGCCAACTGTGTTCTGGGCTGCATTAAAAAAGGGGTGGCCAGCAGGGAGAGGGAGGTGATTGTCCCCCTCTACTCAGCTCTTGGGAGGCCCCATCTGCAGCACTGCGTCCAGGCCTGGGGTCCCCAGCACAGGAAGGATGTGGAGTTCTTGGAGTGGGTCCAGAGGAGGGCACTAAGATGATCAGAGGGCTGGAGCACCTCTTCTATGAGGAAAGGTTGAGGGAACTGGAATTGTTTAGCTTGGAGAAGAGAAGGCTCTGGGGAGACCTCATTGTGGCCTTCCAGTACTTGAAGGGAGCGTATAAACAGGAGGGGGAACGGCTGTTTGTGAGGGTGGATGGTGATAGGACAAGGGGGAATGGTTTTAAACTGAGACAGGGGTGCTTAGATATTAGGAAAGTTTTTCACACAGAGGGTGGTGAGGCACTGGAACAGGTTGCCCAAGGAGGCTGTGGATGCCCCATCCCTGCAGGCATTCAAGGCCAGGCTGGATGTGGCTCTGGGCAGCCTGGGCTGCTGGTTGGTGACCTGCACATAGCAGGGGGTTGGAACTGGATGAGCATTGTGCTCCTTTTCAACCCAGGCCATTCTGTGATTCTGTGATTGCCACAGAGATGTGAGTGTTGCAGTGATACTCCACTCACAAAATGTTGAGGCACAGAGGTTCAGACGAAGGCTGTTAACAGCAATTCAATTCAAAGGAGACATTTCTGTTTGTTGTTATGTATAAAGTGATACAAACAGTAGTCTGCTTTTATTATTTTTCTTTCAGTATGTCTAATATCTCTACTGTTGGAAGTGCTGAGGTTTATATCCTTACACTTCAAAGTATTTTCATGATAGGTGGGATTTTGTGTTGGTTTTCTCTTTGTGCGTGTTTGTTATAGAACTTCTCTAATTCTAGTTTCTTTTAATTACAGTAAAAGATCCATTGCAACAAACTGAGCAGATATGTTTCTGGCCAGAGGAACTACTGAGCACTTCTGTTAAGTGTGGCAGTGCTTAACCTAATAACTTGGAAATCTTGTCTGAGAGAGAACAGCACCAGTGTTTGCTGTGTATCTACCTTCTTGTTACAGGAGTGAAGGAATTGTTATATGCTGTGTAACAGTAAGAAATCTAGAGGATGTAGTTTTTCATTCACCTTGCACCTTTTTTGTTTCATTTTTTTAGGGTTATTGGGGGTGTGCCATTGGTAAAGCCAGACAAGCTGCAAAAACAGAGATTGAGAAACTTCAGGTATGGTATTTCAGTTTTATTGTGTTGCTTTCAGGACAGATATTTCTACATTACGTTATTACCTTTTTGGATGCCTTAAATACATCAAGTACAAGAGAAGCAGAAGTATTTCCTCATAAGTTGTCTTAAGTTGTATGGTAGCAGTATTTTTGGCATCTAGCCCCTGTGCAATAGGTAGTTCATAGCAAGCACACATTTTTAAAAAGGGAAGCATAAACATACACTCCTTTGTGTACCTGCATACTGTATACTCTGCACCTTACTTACAGCTTTCACCTACAAACATACACCATAGCTGTGCACTGAAAAGCTCAGTTCATCCAGTAATCTTCCAAGAGCAGCCCATGGGTGGTGGTGAAGTATCACAAATGAAAAATTACAAGAGAAGTGAAAATATTGTCTCAGTTAATTAAAGTCTTGAATCTGGTCAGATGCTTGAACACCAAATGAAAAGTAGGAATCCTGCAAGATCATCTGATCTTGATACTGGAATCTTGGCATCTGATAAGTTGTCATTTCTATTTCCATGTGTGCAAACTGATATAAAGATACTATGTTGGATAATGTCTGATTTACCAAAAAATGTTTTTTCTGCAGTTCTTGGATTTTCATAAACTTTTTATTGCCTAATTTT